AATAAAAAAGATTTTCTGTTGTCTTCATGAAGAATCCCTAGAAGTTCACTCTTGTTCCCCTGCACAGGTGAGGTCACACCTTGAGTGCTGTGTCCAGTTCTGGGCCAAGAAAGGTGAACCTCACCCTCATGGAGGTGTTGGAGCAAGTGCAGGGAAGGGCAGCAAAGCTGGTGAAGATCTGGAGGATAAATCCTGTGAAGAACAGCTGAGGGAGCTGGGGGGATTTTTACTTTGGGGATCTATTGGTTTTGCCAAAGGAGAATGTGATCTACTGAGTTGTCAGGCTTGTAGAGCAATGGGGTTGTTTCAACAGAAACGAATTAGATACTGATACAAACCCATGGTAATTAACTTTTAGCAATTAATATTTATTACCAGAAATCAGATTATGTCATTATTGGTGTTTAACTTTCATGAAACAAGGCACAATTGAAATTTTTTCAAAATACTGAGATTTTTTTTCATACTGTAAATATTTCTTTCTAGAGAACTTTAGAAAGAGATAAAAAGAGAACTATGTAAAGTTATACGAGGAACCAAAAGAAAAGTCTGGCATAGAAATAGAGAATGGTTTTTTGACCCCCCAGGCTTGGAAAACAACTGCTTTCTAAACATGAGACTCTGCTTTCCTTCCCATAATCACTGCCTTTCCTCCAGGCACTTGCTCAAAGTGAATCAGCTGCAGCATTAATACTTCTGCACAAGACTCTTGACAAAGTGTGAGATACCAGACTCCATGAGCTTGAGCATTGCTGAGAAAGGGATTTTTCAGGGGAGCAATATTGTGCCTTGAAACACCTGTGTGAGCCACAGAAATACTTCAGACCCTTTGACAAACAGCTCTGGAAACAGAAGTGATGTCTCTGCCTGCCATAATGGAGAGGAGGATGAAGAGAAAAGGTAAAACCATTTTCCAGCAGTGAGTTCTCAGTTTTCTGAGTTTCTCCCGCTTTCAGCAATGCTGCTGAGTTTGGACTTGGTATGCCTGTGGTTTCCAGCAAGAATAACAAAGTTGAATAGCCACTTGCTGGTGGTGATCTGGAGTGATTTGTGTTTGCTAGGGCCAGTTCCCAGTTGTGATGTGTTTAAGTGGAGCAGATGCAACAATTTAAAAGACTCTAAACCTACATTTTGTCCCTGTTGGCTCTTTTGGGGTGAGACATGGCTAAACCCTGTGGTGAAGGTGGTCTGTAGGAGCCTGGCTGTGGTGGGGAGAGACTTGCCATTCTCCCAGGGATCCCTGCTGAAAGGCTGCCCTGCATCAAGCCCACAGATCCCTTAATTTGACTTTTGTTTGGCCCCTGGGTCAGGTTGAGGGCTCAGGTACAGGTAAGGCAGAATGGAGCCTGGTGCAGTGCCCTGCTGCAGTTATTTATCACCCCTGCACAGAACCTGCAGCACTGAAGCAGCATTATTACTGCTTTATCTGGGGAATGTGTGGTTAGAATGCTTCCTTTTCTGCACTGCAAATGAGAAGCTGGTAGGGAAAGAAGAATGGTGCAATGGGCTTTCCAGAGCAGAACTGACAGGCTGCTGTTCCTGCAGGGGCACATCTCCCAGTGGCAGCTTCCTAGTGCATATGTGCATGATGATCCATCAGTGACTCACAGAATGCTTTTCACTTCATCATAGCAAATGATTAAAAAAAAAAAAAAGAGAGAGAGAGAGAAAAGAAATAATACAATTTCCATATCCTTATAAATGCAGTAGGAGGCTGTGATTAGAAACAAGCAGTTTAGCATGTGCAGGCTAAGAGCACGGCAGCAGTAGCAGCAGGTTAGGTGTTATTGCTGTTATTGAACAGAGCACCAGGGTGACCACATTTTACAAGAGCTTTATTGGTTCACTCTAGTAAAAATGAATCACATCTCTCTCCCTCAGCTCCTCATCTTTTCCCCTCAAAAGACTGATAGGAAAAAGTATGATTAAAAACCTCCAACATGAAAAAAGTTCGACTTCATACGTCAGTGCTGTGTACAGATGGATGATTCACCAGAATCCATCTCTGTGTTTTTAAGCTGTTTTATTGTTTGAAGTGCTAGCATGTCAGACTTTATAGAGATTCCAGGTTTGAGCCTCTGCTAGTACCTGCTTTTATCAGGTAAAATGTTCTGTGGTGGCACAGAAGAGGCTCCTGCTGAAAAGTGCTCCCCTTTGTGAGTTTGATGGAAAAATAAAGAGAAATCTACGTGGAATCTCCATTTCTGTGCTCTGAGGGATTATTTCCCTGGAAGTTTATACTGGGCACTTAAATGACATCTAGAGGTGCTTTTCAATATCAGATACCATCTTTTGCAACATAGGAGGGGGTGAACTAGACAGTTTTCCAACTCTGAATCAATTTTGTTACTTTCCAACCTCAGTTAAGCAGCTTTTAACTTTTGTTACCGCTACAGTCTTGGGAGCTACAGGCAGCAGAAGGTTCAGCCATACACCATTCACCAGGCAAGAGGCTTCATGCCAGGCAGTGCAAGGGCTGAAAGCCATTATTTAGGAACCCATATCATAAAAGTACTTACAGATATAAAAAAGGATGGGGCACCAACCTGCAAGCAGCAAAGAAGAATTGAGTTTATAGTCCTGTCATATGTGCATTTAAACTGAATTTATCATTGTTGCTACTTGCAACAAAACTGTACTAGTCAATGTTCAGCTGCAGCAGCACCACTTGCCAAAGCAAAACCATCCTGACTGTGACAGGAACACGTCTGTAGTGCCTGGCATCTGACAGTTCTGAAGCATTTTGCAGTACAAATGTTAATTAAGCTTTACAAAAGCTTTGTAAAGTAGGTAAATGCCATCAACAGACATTTCAGCTAAGGCACAGGGCTCCCTCTCCCATGAAAGGGCATCAGGGTGTGGGAGGGGACATGTTGGGTGGGTAGCCCAGTGTGTGGGGCCAGATTTGTGCTCAGAAGAATAAGTCTTCAATTGCTGCATGATCTTTTGTGCTTGAAAATTGGGACCTACATCACAGCTGGGACCTCTGCTATGGTTACAGCAGGAAAACTCAATACAGTAATAGAAATGTTCCATAGACTGGAGTAGCACAGTGGTCTGTCTGCTAGGGAATTATTTTGGATTTCCCCCTCAAATGAGACTATGATTCAGCTTTTGATATGCATCACATCTCCTCTTGTTGCCATGAACCCTTCCTTGTCCCAGAAGTGTGACCCTGTACCTGGGCTGTGGTGCTGTGTTGTGAGGGCTGGCTCTGCACAGCTCGCCAAGAGCGGCCACGTGCCCTCTGCTCAGGTGTGAGCCTTCATTTCATCCACACACTGCTGAATTGTTAGCAGTGTGTGTGCATCCTGTCAGCCCTTCATGTTCTCCCTTCAGTGCTCTCAGTTTCCTGGCAGGAGGAGAAAATGCTCCTGGCTTGTAGCTGGAGCTCTTTGCTGTCACAAGTCCTTGCCACAGCCTCTCATCGGAAGGGTGAGTGCTGTGTCCGACAGCCCACCCCCGAGCTGCAGTCTGACATCCAAGGCTTGTGCTGAGTGTTATTCAGACCCATCTGAGTCTTACATGTAAACACTGCAGAATTTCATGGCAAACTGCAGAACTGATTAAACAAAAACCCAACGTGCTGGGGCCAGAAATTGCCCGGTTCAATGTTAACATTGTGTAAACACCCTCCAACTGACTAAATTCTAGCAGGTCCAAAAGTTGCCAGGAGCATTTTGATGCTTTCCCTCCCTGCTGGAGCTAAGGCTGCAGCTCCAGCTCCCTGGGTCTCCCTGGGACTCATTAGCGTGGCACCACCGTCGCTGCAGGCGAAGGCAGCCACGGGGGACAGTGCCACACGTGCAGAGAGTGGCAACCTTCACACAGGAGAGGAACAGTGAAGCCAAACTGCGGTGCAGGGGAAGGATCATGCTTAATAATATGCAAATCAATGTAGCATCTCACAAAGATTTGATTTGCGTTTCGAGGCAGCTGCTAAAAATGTTGTTTTAACCCCTCTTGGGAGTGTAAATATATCCACTAGACCCAGACTAGATGGAGGGTGATTACATTTTCTAATAACTTTAATTTTACAAGGTAGAACATTTGAAAGCTGACATGTCTTTCATCCTTGGACCGAGCGTGTTGGGGAGATGCCCATGTAAGGGTAATTGCATCAGTGCTAATACAGCACAACCCTGCCAACTGCACAAAGAAATGCCCTGCAGATTTGTCAGGACGTGAGGAAATTTTGCTAGACATAATGAAATGTGAAATATCATTTTCGATGCACAGAGGACATGCTTTCTCCTTGCTTTTTATTGTTTCATCACAGGCAGCCCAATGCTCAGTGGTGCTACCTGGGTTCAGTCATTGCATCTTTGGGCTGCACATCCACCTCACTGAATCCCCTGCTCAGGTACTAACTCAGGAAAGTCTGAAGTAGTGAAATGAAGTAGTGAAGCCTACGTGTTTTCCCATTTATGAGGGCAAATGATTTGGGTTCTTTGCCTTCCTGTAACCAATTCCACACGTTGTTAAGCTTGTGTAACTCAGGTGGCTTTTTATTGCCTGTCCCTTGTAGAAAACAACCCTAGACTTAATGCAGTTGTTTCCACATGACACAGCAGTAAGAAAAAGCAATATTATGGCCCAGTGATGGTGAGAAGCAGAGAGATGCCTCTGGAGGCAGAGACCTACACGAGGGCTGAGGTCCTGGAGCCAGGAAATGAATAAATGAGCAGCACACTGCTGTGCTAGCACTTGGGGAAGGGTTGTTTGTGTCCTGCTCTGCTAAGTTACTGTTCAGGAGATAGAAAATTGGTATTTCTGTGGCTTGGATCCATTTTGATTTGTTTTCCTGTATTCAAATCATCTGCCTCCAGCTGCTTTCTTGAGCTGAGCTTGACAGAGATGCACAAAAGTCTCATCATCTTATAAAGAAGATCTGTAATTCTCCTCCCTTTAGTTTTTGTTTGGGGCATTTGTGGTAGCAATGTCACGGTAAGGGCCCAGGATTCCCTGCTCTACAAACACAAAACCAAAAGGCAAAGGGCCCAGGATGTCTCTAGGCTTTACTCGGTTTAGACACACGCTGTTGATTGCAAATACAAAGGCATTGATGGGCTTCATTGTATCTCGTGCTGCCCTTGACAAAATTTTCTCAACAATTAAAATGAGACCCTAATGAAAGGGCTGCCCAAGGGCTGTGCCATACTCAGACAATGTTTGTATCAGTCAGCCAGGAGCCCATTTCACTTCAGCCATGCAGGTGTTGTCTCCTCCTCATCCAGCTGTGGGCAGGGAGCAGTTGTGCCGAGCTGCAGGATTTGTGCTGCTCTCTGACTGATGCTGCCTTCAGCCTGTCTCCATCACAGGAGAGGAAGGAAGGGAGGGAAGGAGATTCTGTCACCCTCAAACAATCTACTGTTTCCTTGGTGTTTGCTCAAACATTTAATTATTCTCTATGTTATGTGTCTTGTGTGGCACCGTTATGAATTTGTCTCATCAGATGAAGGAACCTTTTATTAACAACTATTCCCCTTCTGCCTCTCCTTCCCCAGGATCTCCCTGCACTGCAAACCAGGCAGCTCTTGGTCTCTGTTTTGGGCTCTAAGCCTTACAAAACCAGGCATATTCTCTTATGCTTTGCTTTGCACTTCTTCTGGTTTTCAAAATTATCTTTTAAAATTGAGGTACTGGGGGGTTATGGAATATTCATCACCAGTCTCACAAGTGCTGCAGATGGAAGTATATTTACCTTTCTATTTGTCTCTTACTTGTTCATACATCTAAGGATAATTTTCTAGCTTGCAGTCCCCTATTCTGTAGCTGTGCCTAAGTGCACTTCTTGTTCCTAGATACACAACCACAAATTTGGCTTTAAATGAACCCAACTATGAATGGATTTCACTGAGATATCAAAGTTTATTAAAAATTAAAAAGATCTCATCTAACTCTGCTCCAGCTCCTCTGTGCAGACTCTCTTTAACTGGCTTAAAATGTTTGTTCCTAGAACTTTAACATCCTCTTTAGTTACTCAAGGATTGGATAACCATTAATTTTCCTACTTCCCTTTTCATGGATGGAATGGAAATATGTATTGAACATTTTACCTCTTCTGCATTTTATTAAAAACTCTGCTGTGCTGCTGAAGTTCTTTTGCTCTGTTTACTTTGTCTTCAGCCAGGCCCAAGATGACTTTTTCCTCTGTCATTCTTAGTTTTCCTAATAAATATTTCATCTTTTTTATACTGTTTACAGCAATTCCTATTGATTTCCTACTTCTCAGTCATTTTATATTGGCTTTTTGTTCCTAATTGCCTCCTTTACTTTTCATCAAATGAGAATTTGCTTTTAGCCAAACTTTTTTTTTTAATTGTGGTATTGGTATTGTGTCTCTTGTCCATCTCATGATTTTTTTCCCAAGAACTCCCCAGTCTCATCCTTTCTACTTTTTCAGTCAGTTTTTGGGCATTTTATGTTCTTTAGTTTTTGGGCAACAGCTCTTTTGAGGCCTCAGCTATAACATTGTGTATGCCACATTTACCCTTCTCCTTTCTCTTTTGTTCTCATTTTTTAATATATTTTTTTTCTTTTTTGGTCACTTTTTGCATAGTATGACATTAAACTGAAAAATGCAAATCAGCAACAGTCTTATCTATATGTTTGAATAGCACTTGGAAAATCATGTCCTCTGTTTCTGTGGTCCAGAATCTTTGGAGAGACTGTTTTCTGTTCTATCTTTTTCTCAGTCAGTGCCGGGAAGTTGGACTCTAACGAATTTTGTTGCCAGTTTGTTGTTTTCATTTCAGCCCTGAAGAAATACCCACTCAGGTTCTTCAGGCCAACAGAAAGACTGTTTCTTTTCTATATACATCACTTGCAATAACAAAAGATATTCCTCCTTGTACAAACCTTGCTTCCCCCCTTACTTTGCTACAGCTACACTGTTGGAAAATAGAATTCAGTTACAATCCTTTTTAGCAGACTGCACTAAACAACGTTTCCTGACAGTAGGAATATACTTCTGCAATGGTAATAAGTGGAAGAGACTATCCCAGGAATAAAACCTCTGGTTTGAGGGCCTGAGTTACGAGACCTGTTACTGTGAAATGCTAAGGGTTGGCAGAAAATCAGCATTTGCTCATAGAGCTGCATCCAAAGCCACTTGCTGCACCAACTGCTATGAAACGTGCTCCTGTTGTGGCAGCGATTTTGGGTGATGTCTGTCAGCTCAAACTGCCAGAATGATCTTGTTCTTACTGCATGGCTGTCCAGTGAGCTATGCAGCAAGCTGGAAAGCCAGGCACTCAGTGATTTGCAAGATCATGGCAGTTTGAGTTCGCATTCCTGAGCAGGGCCTTACTGAGTCACCTTGCCTTGTCATAGCTGAATCACTGACACTTAATTGATGGAAATCTTTTCTTACACAACAGATGCCAGGCCTTGCACAGAGGTCTGGTGAACAATCCTGGGCTCCAGAACTGATTGGGAAGGTTCTTCAAGTCAAAGCAATCTACACAGAGACAATTTCCCCCATACTGCACCCAGTCATAAAGGATGCTGTAGTGGCTGAGTGTGGTCACAAATGCCACAGTCATAATTTCCTGTAGCAGTCTCCCCAGAAGTATCTTTCTTGAAGAACTTCTCTGAGATGTGAGAGGGCATCATGATTTTTCATGTGACAGAAGACATCTGATAGCTCCCAAGATGTGAGTGAGGTCATTGTGCTGTGGAGCACGAGTTATACACCTACCTAGAGGAGATTCTGAAGCACAACCAGGCTGTATCTGAGAGGCTGGTGACTGCCAGCTCAGGGTTACAGAGCATTAACAATGGGGTTTTCAATGCCTGGGAGAGCTCTTACTTTCACAGATTTCTTAGAGCCCCAGACTTGAAGAGTGCCCCTGATTAAGGTCTGCTGCCACTGAGCTTCTCCTCTCCTCCATTCCTACCCCACAGCTGTAGCTGGAAAGGCAGAATCTGTCCCTAACTGTCCATGGTGATGTTGTGTTCTATTTGGCATTTGTGCAATATCTCTCCCTGTCTTTTTCCCTCCCTCAAAACATGAATCCCTAGATTTTTAAACACATCCTACCAAGAGCACTCAGTAAGCACAGAGCAGATTGACTGCAAGCCCTTCTGACACTGAATTCAGCTGACAATCAGCTCCTAATGCCAGCAGCTATTCCAGTTTTGTATCCTCTTCCTTCAATCTGATGCCGACAAGGTCAAGTTTAGAAACTTCTAACAAATGTTACTTTCTCATTAACAGACAGACTGTTGGGTGACAGCTTCTGTTTTGTGTGTTTCCAGTTGCCATTTTAATCAGCTCTGTTCTGCAGGCTTTGTGTTTGAAGAACTGGCCATGGCAGAGCGGGGAGCAGTGTAAGCACCAGGTCCCTTTGCATGTGTTCAGCTCTTCATGATTTTCATAGGATTTTGTATTTGAATCCCATTTTCCAAGGGACCCCAACAGTTCTCTGCCCTTTGAGAAAGAAGGGATGAGGCAGCAGAGCAGGGGATATCAGGGCAGGGAGGAAGGAAGGCTGGCTGGCTGGAGAGCATCATGAACAGGTTTCAACTGGTCCATGTCATTACAGGGAAACTTCCCCTGTGTGGAGGAGTCCTGGTTTGGGATTCTGTAATTCCCATTTTCCTATACTGTACCTTCAGCATCCTCTGCTAATCCACTGTTGGCTAAGGGCCATTGAAGTTTGCAAAGGACTCCAGCTCCGCTGAGTTCCTTCAAGTTGTACATCCTGCACAGGGAAGAAAATAAACTCCCTGATGTATTGGTGGTGGATAATAGACTGAAGTAAGAGCCCTGCTTTACTGTGACCTGATCAATGTCTCTTCTCACCTATTGACCACAGTGATCTCTAACTCAGTGCAGCAGGGTTGGCTTTGGATATGCACCCATAGCAATTATATGGATTAATAAATCAAATGTATGTATAAAAGATATATAATAGGGTGATTAAAATTGTATTTTGAAGATGTATATGGAGACTTATAGTTTTAATCAAACCCATTTTAGGTATTTTGGAATATTCCCACTGCTGTCATAGAATCATTTCAATTGCAAAAGATTTCTAAGATCATCCACTCCATCTGTTGGTAGCCTTTGGTTTGGCTTCGTAATGATTTGTCTTTGTTACTGGAAGTTATCCAGAGGCTGTTTTCCCATGGGCAGTCCTGGGCTGTGAGGTTGGAGGATGCTCTGCTGGGGTGATGGTCCTAGCAGTGAACATCTGTAGGGGATGCAGAAGGGTGGGTGAGATTGGTCTTTCAGTCTTGGCGAGGGACAGTCTGGGCTGTTTAAGGATGAATGAGGGTGGAATGACTTTCCACAGACTGGAAAGGGCAGCTCCAGAGCAATGTTCTTATCCAATGTGCTTTGGAATTGATACCCACCATCAGCTGCAATGAAATGGTCTCTCATTAACGCTAATCACACTTGCCTCTTACTTTCATATTAGGTAATGAACACAGTTAAGTAGTGGAAAGCCTGCTCTCCCTTCTTCTGCTGTGACAGCATTAGATTGTTGTGATTTATACTCTTCATATAGGTAGTAATATGATTATTTGGTTAATCTATTATTCATTTCACTCATGATCTATTCTTTTCACATTCTTATTCTGTGAGTCAATTTCTCTCTCTGCTATTTTAATAGAGTAGCATTTTAAATTGTGAGAACACTGCATTAAACATGTATAAGATTTAATCTAATTTAAAATGCTTTCTTCTAGCAGGATATGCCTAATAAGCATAAAACTAATAATGTTCAAAACGCTATGGCATATTAGCATGGCACATTGTGAGGGATGCATTTTTCAAATAAAGCTAAGCACTAATTACTGAATATCTAAACCACTTTCTTACTCCTTATCCTGAAGCTGTGTGATTGACACAGAAAAAGATCTTTTGACAGAATAGCATTGCATACAAGCTGCCTTGAAGTTTGCAAATATTTTTTCTTGCTGTCTAATGTGAGATCTTTAAAGTAACACAGAATCAGTGATACCTCACAACATTAATATTATATGGATGCTGAAACACTTGGGAATCATTGATCTGCACTTGACTTAGTGCTGGATGTATGTGTGTGACCCACTGGATGAAATGGATTTTATGTTTCCTCTCTGCAGAGATCATGAGTCTGTTCCAGCCTGCAGTGGCACAGCCTGGCTGTTGAATTCTATGCTTGTAGTTTTAGAGACTTTTGTAAGAGTTTAATAATCTGGGCAGCAATTATTTTTGCTTCAAATGTTGTTTTACAGAAAAATTAAATTCTGGGTTCAATGCAAACTTGTTTGAAACAAATTCAGTCTTCTATCTGCTTCTGTTGCCTGAGAACTGAGTAATTTTGTTTAATATTAAATATTTTTGTTTCCTGCTTTGAAACCAGGCTTCCTCTTAGAAGTTAGGTCAATGTACACTTTTGAAAATAAAAAACCTGCCCAGATGCAAAAAAATACATTTTAGTATCAATTGAACAGATATTTATTCTAACTAAAATCGAATTCCCTATTTTGTTTGTTTTGCTGTTTTCATGACCCCGTTTCATGCTCAGTTTATGGCCACGTGAAGATAGAGAAAACAGTAAACACCTGATCCTACAGAAAAATGGTCCAACTTAGGGTTTATTTTGTCTGCACTGGCTCACAGGAACCTGTTTTTCCTTTCTGGACCAAGCAGAACAGAGGGCAGGGAGGCAGCAGAGCCTGGTCCCTCACTATGACGCTGGATTTTGGCCAGGAGCCCCCACTGTGCAGATTTGGAAGTCTCCTCAGCTCTGCTGATTTTGACAGAGACAGTGGAAGCTATTTTGTGACACCCAGTGGGAAAACTCATATAATTAAGCACGTCTTTATGTCTCTGCAATTTCTGAATCTGCTTTGTAAATCTCCTATTTGTTATCATTGTATCAATTTAATTATAGATCTTCAGCAGAGTCTGACATGCAACAGGAGGGCGAATTGTGTATTGGGTTTCCGGGATTGCTCACTCCCAGCAGGTGATTCCAGGCACATATGGTGGAATTATCCATTTGCTCGCGGCGCGACCTTCTCCGTGCGCAGGATCCCGGCGGCTGCAGCCGCTGCACTCCCACACTGCCGCAAGGCTGAGTCTGAAGTGATGCAAAAGGAGACTTGGATGGGCAGATGATGATCATTGACACAGCTCACTGCAAGCTCTGCCTCTAATGATGTAGAGAAATGACTAATGCTGCAAGTTCCAGAATACAAACTCCAGAGATATCAGGAGTGCAAAAAAAAATATACTTTCTGACAAAGAGGTCAGGAGGATATTGGTTCTGAGCATGGCTTGGATTCAGCAGTGTTTTTCCTTAAGCATTTTTAAGTTCTTGTAAGGGCAGAGCTTTGCTGAATATTTCCATTTATTTTTTGTGTCTTGCTAGTTGCTATGTGCTGCAGTTGTAGTATAGGATCTGTTGTGCTGGTGGTGTTTGAACATGAGAGAAAAATGAGAATATATTTGAGGAATGTATTAGGAGTGTACTTAACCCTACTTTATTTCTGCCCTGAACTTGCATGAAGTAAACTTTAATTGGAAATTAACTTTTCTGAGCATTACATAGCCAATATTTCAGTGTGTATTATGGTATTTTAAAAACTGAAGAGATAGAACTCCCCTTTGTAATTCTTTGTCCCAGGAGACACAGAAAGTGAGTTACAGGGGTTTGAGAAACCCAGACTGAGGTGCTGGGACTTCAGTGATGCTTCCTAGTGTGCTGGAGAGACTAATGGGGAAACTGGCCGTTCTTGCAGACACACAAAGAAATCACCACTTTCAAACTGGCAAGGAATTTTTCCTGTGTATTCCCCAAATGCTGTTAGGAGCTGCAGATCCTAATGCTGCCCACCCCACTGTTTCTCTAACCCTGCAATCCCAGTGAATTTAGGAAAAAACCCAGTGGGTAGATGATTCAGCTTTCTGTGTCTGCAGGTGAAATGGCGTAACTTGCTGTCAGTCCTTCTGCCACCAGGACTATAATTCTATTTATAATTACATCTGCACCTGTACAGAGCTGGAAAACAAGGTCAGGAGCAGATCTCCTCTGCCCTGTGATCTTTGCAACACGCCCCAAACACCCAGAAACTTCCAGCAATGAAAAATGCTATTGTAGCATTGTTTGGTTTCACAAGATACTGCCCCACGGTCACACTCTCCAGACAATAAAAGAGTTGGCTTTGGTATATAAAGCTCTTCCTATTTGGGATCCTGGATGCCTGGGCACCGACTCGTCTCAAGTTGACAGTTGGCGTCAATGACTATTTGAGAAACTTAGGCCTTGGGTACACAAAGATGCAGCACTTTTTCATGTCTACTTCTCCTCACATCTATCCATCTAAATAGTGATGTTATTTCTGGCCTTCATTGTTTTGTTTCTGCTTTCAGCAAATAACAGAAGAGAAAGGTCTGTGACAATTTTAGGAAGCTTTATAGAAGGAGGTTATTGATGGCTGCTACTTCTTCCCCGGGCACTTGGAGAAATCCTTGAAATGATGTTTGCTGGCATTGTGAAACGAATTATTACTATGGTAACAGCAGCTGAAATGTTACAGGAAAGTTTAGCTCTACTCTTCCTTTTTTTTGTTTGTATGCTGACATGAAATTTTGTAGCCTTATTGCCAAGATGGTGGCATATTTGTTATGTAGCTCAAAAAAAAGGGAAAGGAGCAAGCTTGTCACAACCTTGGTATTTGGGATCTGAGCAGCAGCAGAAATAAACACCCTTCTACCTAAATAAACTTAGAACTGGGGAAGAAGGATCTATGCACATTGACCGAAGGAATCTTATTTTAAATGCTAGTGATTTTTAAAATTAAAGTATTATTTCATGCTGGATTGATATCTCAATTCTACAGTTATAACTGTGCTTGAGCTAAAAAATAAATTGCCTTTGCAGTATAATTTTCATCTTTTTCCCAGCAGGGCCAAATCTGCTGTTTAGTCTGTGGGTAAGCAGTAGAGAAGAAGAGCTGAAACCTCTGTCTGCACATCCTGGGGCTGATTTGGCACAAAACATCACATCCTCCTTGCTGGAATAAATGGCTCTAAATTATCAGAAGTGTAAATGCATGACCACACAAGAGACAAGAAAGTTAGCTCTGGCCCTCTGAGTGTAGAAGTCTCAGTTCAGTATCCCAGTAGACAGACACTAAAGGACATGAAGTGTGGAAGTTCAAAACAAAAGTTAATAAAAGTTTATTGCAACCTTTCTTAAGTAGAAAGAAAGTGTTTCCTCGTTCAGTTCTGGTGTGTAAATGATGAGGACACTGAAGAGTCACCAATGGTTGACAGTGTAGGTGGACACAAATAAGTAAATGGGCTGTCTTCAACATCCAGATGTATTTGCCCATCATGGATAGACCCAGCCCTGGCAACTCATCCTGTTGTAGGGGTGAAAGGAACCTTGCCAAGTCAGTTCACTTATCTGCTGTGAAGCAGAGTCTGCACTTGTGTACATGCTCTGGACTCAGGAAAATTCAGCACCGACTCAATTATGAAGGTAGCTTGAGAAATATGGAGCTGGTTTTCCTTATGAGATTGGAGAAGCTTTGTGATGAAAAATGTATCCACTGTGCTGGGTACATTGCAAGGTCTGCACAGTGGTTTTCACTGCTCATTCTGAAAGAGAAGTGGAATCCAAGTCAAGGGCAGGAGCTCTTTTTAGCACAGAGATTGCTGATGCTGGTGCTCATGACCAAAAGAAGATGCCAGTTTCTTAGGTTTTCTCCAGGACACTTGACTTATACATTGGGTTGCAGGAAACAAACTCATTCGTTTCAACAAAGTGGAACATCACAGTCTCTGGGTTTTAAAGCTCAAAGGTGGGGCCAGTCCCAATGTTGTAGGTGATACCAACCCATGAGCCTTTGTCCAGGTGTTACCAGCCTTGGACCCCCAGAGTTTGGGACCACATGAAACCCTTTCATCTCCAGGCTGTGTTATCACCTGCAGAGCTGCTGTGGGAGTGTAAAACCTGCCATGTGTAGTGTAAAGACAGACATTTCAACTTCTCCACTTCCCTTATTTTTACTAGTACTGTAGTAACTCCAAGGGGAGTTAGAATTAGGAGAATGTCCTAAAGGAAGGTATTATTGAAGATACAACAACCTCATGAGCACTGAGGGCAGCTGTGGCTGTAGTCAGTGTGAGCACAGTCCTGCTGCTTAACCATGGATGTGGGGAAAACCCTGCAAAGGCACATGGTTTAAGGATCTAAACCCAGGTTTGAGATATTTATCATGGCAATGGGGAGAGAGACAAACTGGAATCTGCTCCCTCCTGTAGTGTCTGGGCAAGCTGATGCACAACTTCACATCTTGTGAGTCTCAGCCTTGCTTCAGTGGCCTGACCCTAGTATGTTAAAAAGTTATTGAGGTGTTTTATCACTTAACTTCTGTCTGAAATTCCAGCCAGACTGTATATGCAAGTACCAGACAGGTAGAAGCCTTCATCTCAACAAATTAATTCTGCTTTGTCCTTTCCAACTCCCATCTTAGGTGTGCTTTTTGAAGTTAAACCTTTTGTGATGGTTAAGGTGACGGGCTTTGTCCTAAGCCACAATCACTTAGAAATATTTGATTGCATATGACCCTAGCAAACTTTGGGAAATGACTGGTAGCTTTACTCCCTTATTTGGGATCTTAGTCCTTCTGCAGCAGCACAGCACTTCAAGCAATTTTGCTTCGTGTAGCAAAGGCTGCTCAGGGCTGTCTGGCTACTGCTAATTTCAGCAATGGATTGAGGAACTTTGTGCCTGGAAAATGAAAAACTACAAGTAGATGAGACAGTGGGAGGCAAAGTGGGTTTGTGTTTGCAAACACCCACTCAGCCCCAAAGCATTGGCACCAGATAAGTTTTTCGGAAAATCCTGAATCTTATCCTCTATAAATCTGTGGCAATTAGGAGCAACTCCAGTGAATTGGATGGGATTATTCATGTAAATAGAAATGAGATCATATTCATGCTTCTGTGCAACTAGTCTTAGCAGGGAGTGGTTCCTGAACAAAATTAAAATATTCAGTTTTGAATGCATTTTAACTGTGCTTCCCATCACTCCTGCCCCTTTAAATCCAAAATAAAATATTGCATGGAGTGCTTTCATAAATAATTTACTTTCTGCCTGACACCAGTCAGGGAGGCATAAAGCTTTCTGTATGTGCATGCTGATTCCAGAGCTCAGCAGTAACTAGATCTGAATTTAAAACAAAAAATCTGAAGACTTTTGCTTTTCCATGAGGATGGGAGAAGAACAGGCTCTTTGAAAGAGTCAATTCAAGCCCCACCACATCAAGCACTCTCTGTGGTGTTTGAAAAAGCACTGTTCATTCATTCTGACCCCCCAGATGGGAGAGGGATGATGTGAGGAGAGCTGCCCTTGTGGTTAAGGAACTGGGTGGAACTCCTGGGATTTTGGCTCAAGCCTCTGCTCTGCTCTAGGTGGTGTTGGCCAGACACAATGCACTCCTGTGCTGAGATTTCCAGGCTACTCCCAAACAAGCTGGGAAGCAGAACAACTTCATTGATGTGCTGTGTTCAGGAACATTGGGGCTTAGCTGACACAACAGGTGTGTCTTGTTTTCCCAAATGACGTCGCAAAATTGCTAAATTTCCACTTTTCAGAGGGAGAGTAATTACTGAGCAAGTTGTGGAGTTGGGAGGTGTTTTTCCAGAACTCTTTTATGACCTTGGGCAAAGCACTTAGGCAGAAATTTAGTGAAGTATTAAAGCATTTCAGTCCTGTTGAGGGCTTATCTCTGGTTCATTTCAGTGGGATTTAGGGTTCTACTTTGTATTTAAGTACCTAAATCTCTTTGTGATCCATAAAAATCTTAAAGTTTCTCTTTGGAAAAAAAGGGAATAATAAAAGATGTTGTCTCACAGGGATGTTTTGAGAAGAAATTAAAGGTTGTGGAAAAACCAAAAAAAAATTGACTGTGAGGCTGTGTAGATGTGATAGAGAGAATGATCATGTATTCTGTAAAACAAATCCTGGAATACATGCTTGGCATGAGTGTTGTACAAGTGTTTCCACGCTGCCAAGAGCACCCAGCCAGCCAGGAAAGAGCACAAAGCTCATTCTATAATTTATAGCAAACCTCTGGAAAAATACTTCCTTCACTTAAAAAACCCAAAACACTCTGCCTGTGGCGTGGCATCTGGGACATGCTTAGCAAGCAGCAGGAGCTCTTTATAATTCATCAAAAAGGCCATACAGATAATGAGAAGAGGTTCCTAGCTGTAGCTAAATATTTCTTCCCAATGCTGCCTCAAAACAAAAAGCACCAAGGTGGTGGACGTGGGGAATCCTCGCTCCAGCCCCAGGGTCTGGTGTGTCCCAGGTAGGAGCAGTGCCCAGAGCTGAACTCATGTCTAGGGGCATAATTTGTCCCCCCACTCCAGGGATGCTCCAGCATAAAGCACCAAACTGTGAACCTCTCTTGCTCAGCTCTGGCACAGAATTTGGGCTAAAGCCCAAGCTGAAGTTAAATGAGCTTCAAAAAGCTGTCAGAGCTGTCTTGGGAGCTCTGCTGCTGCCCTCTGCCACCACCATGCTTTCAGCTGGGCTTTGGTGGGAGTTTTCTGTCTCCAGACAGACCCAGAAATTGTTGTTGGAGGAGAGGGCAAGCTGGGTTTGGGTTAATTTTTTTTCTAGGTGACACTGTGGGCAGGGCTGAGCTAAGCCTGCCTGTGGCCCTGGGGAAAGGAAACGTCTGTGGGAAATGAAGCCTTCACTTGGCACCATTTCCAGTGGGAATCAGTAAGGATTTCAAAGATGTTCCCCCTGATGTGCTAAAGCTTAGCTTAGAAAAGCAGAGAGATGAAAGGGCAGCCTCCTCTGGAGCGTGCTGAGATGTGACAGGGAGAGTGGCTGCTGCTGCTGCACTGAGCTGTAATGAGCCCCTGTAAGGGGAGTCACAAGCACTAAAAAGTCAAATGAACAGGAACGACTGTGTGCAGGGTGATTCCAGCGGTGCCAGGGCTGCCTGTGCACATGGTGCCTTCAGCCCCTGCTCCTTTGTATGGTTCTGTAATTCCATGAGGCTGGGGCCGCCTCTGAGGTGTCTGGGGGGAGAGAGAGAGTGAGAATTGCTTCACCACATAGGCTTGCTGTGCATTTTGGCCACCTTTCCTCACTCTGTGTTCATTCGGATTTTTCTTTGTCTTTAAATGTAAACTGCAGAGACTTTGATACTGTAACAGAAGAGGAAAGTGAGGCTCCTGTACTACACTGAAAAGCTGTTAGGTTATTTCCCAGTCTTACAGCTGTCTTTTCCAGTCTGCTATAACTGTGGCTGAAGCTGTAATGCAGAGATAAGGAATTTTCCATCATGTTGTGTGAATCTAGGAGGGTTGTGAAGCTCTGTAATTCTGCAAACTTTTAAAACACAGTCTCTTTGTGGGGTTTTGTGTCTCTGTTTTCCCACCTATATTGTGGCAAACTTGTAGGTGCAGTGTGTGGTTATATCAATAAATCTATGTGTTCCTTCTTCCTTTTCTCCTGTTTAGTTTCATGAACCTGTTAAAAATTAGTAAGAAAGTCTAGGAAATTGCCCCATCCCTCTGTCTGTGGGATACAATGTTAAATGGAAGCGGGCACCAGAGGAGGAAACAGAACAGTGGAGAGTATGAGGGGATGGAAGTGCTTCCACCTGCTCTACCTTCCCTGCACAAGCTCTGCATCTAATTGCAAATAAAAACTGGGAGAAGCAACATTAGAGAGGCGTGTATGAATGATTTGCTAATACTGGTAAGCAGAGGTTTCCCTCTCTCCTCCTTCACTTTGGAGCTTGCCTTATGGTCTCAATAAGACTGACAGTGAGATGTTCACTCCTGCCTTGGGGATGATAAATGGCTCTCAGCGATTAGGAACGGGACTACCTTCATCTCTGGGGTAAGCAACCATGCTAACTCTGCATACAGTGGGGATGTAGGAGTTATTGTGGCAATAACCTGTTGAGTCACTGCTTTTTATTGTACAATTATTTGTGTTCAGGTCTGATGCCTAAATAATGTGCAATACTGAAACCTTGCAAAAAATGGAAATGAATGCAGAGAGCAATGTCCCTGCTGAATAAAATCTATAGCTATTTCCCCTAAGTTCTGGTTAATAAGGTTCAAAAAATGATGTCTGGACTCCTCAGGGGCTGATATCTGAGTGCAGTTCAGAGGAGTAGCCTGAAGTTCAGACACTTCTCTGAATCCTCTCTCATCTCTTTGAGTGTCATAGGGTTCTTCAAACCTGGGCTACAAACCTTGTGAGGACACATTTCTCAGGTATCCCCTTGAGCACAGAAGAGCAAAGACAGACAGAACTCATGCCATTTCAAGCCTGAAAACAGAAGTTTGTGGTGTATCGGTAATAGGCGGAGATTTAGGGCAGAGGATCTTAATGACTGGTTTCAAACAATGGAAAAATCTCATCTTTGTTTAAAGTATTGAGTGTACAAGGCTTCTTAATAACCAGGGCTTTGCAACCTGTCCTTATTTACTCAGTGTTCATCTGGCTTACTAGATCCTGTCTAGCGTAAGATTGGTCAGCACCCTAACACAAAGGCAAAATACACTCCCATATTTGAACTGCTGGGGTTTCTCTAGGAGCTCAAATAGTGAAGACACATCCTTCAGCACACGGAACCCCAGGGCCCAGTGCTTTTACATGAACTGAGAAGCAGGCAGGCCCCTCCTCCAGGGCAGCAACATCCACACCCCTTGGACATGGTGCACACATGCCTGCAGGGTGTGACCTGGTCACATACAGACCTAGGCTGTGGCTTTCCACAAGGCAGCGCCCTTAGGAAGCATGGCAGGTTTCCATTACAGATCCAGTTTCAGTAGCAACCCTCTATTCTGAAGAGAAATTCTCTTTTTTTTTGTGTGAGAGAGAGCGAGTGAGCAAGCCACACAGAGCCTAGCAGCTCTGGATTTCTGGATTGCATTCCTCAGCACAAGAGCTGGCAGTCTGTCAAGGATAATCTTTAAGTATGCACATATATTTTTGCAAATTGGACACTAAGTGTCTTAGCAGAAACCTGGTACAAATGGGAGATGTTTCCAATCAAAAATCAACATGCTGCTGACCCAGCTCATCACCGTATCTTGCCCTTGGAGAGTAAACTCGTTGAAGTACCTTCACATGAGATGTCCCATAAAGGAATCAGGGGTTGGGACCATTACCTCTCAAGCTGCCATGGTTCCTGCTCCAGCCCTGCAGCTCACTGTTCAAAATACCAGCACTATCCTGTTTCCCATCCCTGCTTTACTTACAGTCTCCTATTCTTGGAGTCCTTTGATACCAGTATGAATTCTGAAAAATCTTTGTCTGAAACTTTATTTAGATTATTTAGAAATTGTGTGACTACAATTGTATGACTATGTGTCAGATCTGTGAATGTTGTCTGGGGCTTTGAAAAAAAGTATACATGAAGGAGCGAGGAGGAAGTGTATGAAAAATCCTTGACTTGGATTTAAACAATGATGACTAAGGATTGTCTACACAGGAGTTTCCTGTGCAGTGAGGTAGGTTTAGAAGTGAAGTGCTTTACTTAGCTGCCAGTTCCATCTGCAGTGTCTGGATCTATCCCTCCCACAGGTTTCTGAGGTAGGAGCACAGCTGAGTTTTCCAGGGACTAGAGTAGCACCTGAAATGCTGTTAATGGAGAACTTGCACAGAGTGTACACAGAACTGGAAATTCATATTGCTTAGAGGTCTGTATTATTTGTGGTATTGCTGACAAATCTGTGTTCTTTAGAATATTAGAACAGAGACTGGGGGAGTTCATCTCTAGTGCTTATGGAATAGTCAGAGACGGGTGGAACATGACCCTTATAATACGATCCAAATATCTCTTTACTGTATATCTGTAGAGCTTTGTATTCTAAGACCATCTTTGCTGCTTGCTGTGAGTTACTGGCAGATCTGCAGTGCTTCCAAATACCTGAGATTGTAGAGCTAGCATGATACTCTGACAAACATTTTTAATAACTTGTTATAAAAGTCCAAAAAGGACAAAGAAATGCAAGGGTACATTCAAAACAAGTTAAATTCCGTGGTTTTGGGTTGTTTTTTCATTAAAGTCATCTTCAGTAGAAGCACAACTTTCCAAAGCAGAGGTAGGGTTGTTCCTGGCAGGACCCCTCCTGCTTTGTTGGCTTTCAGGACTGCCCATGGCCTTACCTGCTCTCTGGGCTTCTGAAAATGTCCATGCACTATTGACACAATTCTGTGATAAAATATTAAAATGCGTTATTATATGCACTTTCCTCTCAATCCACTACAACAAAGCCCCTTTTTTGTTTTGTTTTCTTGTCAGATTGTCCATGTGACGTTCATCTTCCAGGCTGTGACATTAAATGCTGTACTCGGGTATTAGAGAGAGGATAATGTCAACAGCAGCTATCAGTACTTCAGCTTTCAGAATGTTTTGAGGGTTCTCAGGCAAAGTGAATTCAAGGTGTTGGAATGTGAGGGCCCTTGTTTTCCTCCCTCCCCTCTGACTCTTCCGGAGCACCAGAGCTCATCCTCATTGAGTCCATGGAGGGAAGGCAAGGAGTTGTTTCAGTGCACCTTCCTGGATCCTTGGTGCACTCTTGAAGGCTCTTCAAGTGCAGTGTTATTTCCTCTCAGAGCTGATGTGATTCCCTCTGTGCAACAATAAAACTAAACAATCTTTCTTCCCTTTCAAGAGAAAGGAAGCAATTTTGAAAAATATATAGCCACATATATCCCCAGAATTTCTAGGCTAAAAAATATATCACATCTAAACTGTTGTGGCTTTGGCTCTGCAGGCTTTCCCACACCTGAACAATGCGGTGTCATGCTCCAAAGCTTCATGATTTGTAAGATTCAGTGCTGGGTTGGTGACTTATATGTTGTATTTTTTGAAATGTTGCAGGGTTGTATATCATTGGAAAGAGAAAATAATTATTTGTCCTCTGATAGTGAGCAGAGATTAGTAGCCATGTCATATCTGTATTAGAAATATTTTAAATTGTGGCACTCACCAGCATATAAAAGTATATTAGATTATCTTAGAATGTTTTTATGGCTCCATGTGAGTAATTCGACAGATGGTACAAAGGCTCTTGGTTATAATGTTAAAGGAATGCAAAAAATTGTCTTGTTTAAAATAAGAAAATAAATTCTGAGAAAATTCTACAACAGTTTTACAAGTCTGCTATGTGCCGCATAGATAAAGAAGTGAATGTGAATCCTTAATGCCATGCCTGCCTTAGAAACTCAAGTAAAATCTCATGAAAGTAGTAATGTTGTCCCACTTGTACACTGAGAAAACATTTGCATTCCATGGTTCTGTATCTGTCTTGAAGATCAATGTGCATATGCAGGTACAGACTGTGTTCAGAGAGTACATGGAAACATATCCAGCTGCTGTGAAATCAGGCTAAATTTGCAGCACAAATTAGGTGGAGATTTTCCAGATTTGTATTTAAAACCAGCATACTCAAGAGCTTTGGAACTAAACAAGCCCCATCTGTTTTAAAAATTATACAGCACTATGAACCAGCCACAGTATACATCAAAATTTGGGATGTTGTATAAGAAATATCAATTTCTAGGGCAGAAAGAAGATTTTCAAAAAATTATTTTGTATGTCTCTTCTTGAAGCAGTTGATTAAATGCACTCATTGCCTTAAAGAGTGTACTAAGTTTTTCATGTTAATTGTGAACTATTTCCAAGTCTGATTCTCTGATGGAAGTGTTCCATCACACCTTATGGCTGAGCTGTATTAGCTGGTAGGTCCTGCTCAGCTAGGAGAGGGCTCTCTCTGGCACCAGCCAAGCCATGGTTGGTGTTGAGTGGGAATTGAAAGGATATGTGTATTTTTCACTGCATAACTGTTCTTTCTGGGACACCTTTGTGGACACAAGGAGAAGGCAGTCAGGAGCAGTCAGCACAGATTGAGGAAACAGGCCTGCCTGACCTGATTGCCTTCAGAGATGAACCAACAGTATTTGTGGGTGGGTGAGGAACCTTCCTGTAACACACCTTGACTTCAGCAAGGCTTTCATCAGTCTCATAGACAGTCCTCTGTGTAGTGTGGGACATTGCATTCTGCATGGACAGACAACTCAACAGATGGACGGAGAATTCAAAGAACTGGATAACTTACCTCTTTGATCCCAGGCACTCATAGGCATAAAACAAGTGCAATACTCCAGCATCTGTCCTGGGACCTGTCTTGTTTGACAGTGACCTGGAGGAGGGGATGGAACATGTTTTTGTCAAGTTTTCAGGTACACAAATTTCCAGGTGCTATCTGTCTGTAGCTTGAGGGCAGACTAGCCATTCAGAGGGACCTTGACAGGCTGAAAGGCCAGCAGGAGCCATATAAAATTCAATAAGGATCAATACAAATACTTCATGTGGGAAGAAAAAGCCCTATAACAGTAAAGGATACAAAAGGCAGAGCCAGATTCTTCACTAAAATTGGTGGAAGGATCAGAGACAGCAGACATAAACTGTACAATAGGGATCCATACTGAGTGTAATGAAAACTTTTTTTCCCTGGATGACTCTCAAGCAGTAGAGCAGGCTGCCAGAAGGGCTGTGAAGTTTCCATTCTTGGAGACTTTTAGGACCTGACTGGACAAAGCTCTGAGCCACCTGGTCTGACCTCAGGCTGGCACTGCTTTGAGCAGCAGGTTGCACATGGAGATTTCCTGGGCTGCCCTCCAACCTGAATTACCCTCTGTGATCCTCTAAGAGTTGAACATTTGGGATGGAATATTTTTTAGTCCTGCAGGTGATGTAAACCAGAGCTGACCACTGGGGAGCCAGACCTATGTATGTTAGCCTGGGAGTTGGTATTTCAGCTCTCCCAAAGAGTCTGGGACATAACAGGAGATGCAGCTCTGAAAAATGACAAAACCTGCTGTACATTTATTGACTGAGTCTAACAGGCCTGCTCAGCTCTGTTTTCTTTCAAGTATCTCGGCTGGCACAAACACTGGAATGTGTTACTGTAATAATCACTAGAATAGTGGCCACTCATCTGGGGTTTGCAGGGGGACATCTGTATATTCATTTTATCCAGGAGACACTATTGCCTGAATTACTGATAGTAGATTTGTTGTTCTAGCAAGAGAGGGAAGAAAACAGAAAAGTTGACTCAAAGCTCCTGTAAACACCGAGTACTGAGTAGCTCAGTGTGTGAACTGAAAGCACATCAGCTAACACCCTGAATTCCTCTGTGTGAAGCAGTTGATTTCACTCAGAAGGTGCAGCGAGGCCCTGGACAGATGCCCCTCTGCAGGTTCAGCTGAGCAGACAGAAGATGCTACAGATGCAGGTGTTCCTCAGTGCTCCTGTGCCCCTTCCTCTTTGCTGGCAGAAGGGGTTTGCCCGAGCATGGACACCTTTGGTCATGTAACATCAGCAGAGCTGGCACAAGCTGGCTGTGCAGTGGTGTGAGCTGGTCCCGGGGGATGAAAGTGGGGCTGAAGTGAATTAGGGAATGCTCTCGTGGGCTGCTCAATGTGGCAGATCCAATGCAGGGGAAGGCACCAGCAGCACCTCGCATGGAGGAGCATCTACCTGAAAAACGAGTGCTGAGGAACAGATGAGCTGTGAATTCACACCCCTCTTGCCTCACGTTGCCTTTGTCTATTCCAGAGGGTGATTAGGTTGTTGTGTCACTGCCAGCGAATGATGGCATCCACCCACCTTTTCTGAAAACTCCCTGTTATGTTGTACACAGGCCCATGACTATCTTTGTCTTCCTCACTGACTCTCAAGACTATGAAGGTTTTACAGAAGCACAGATGTTACCCAGAAAATTCCAATATTGTAGAACTGCCTCATACTTATAATGCTTTTAGCTTCACTTTGATATTTCACTGAAGGATGCAATGACTTCTTACATCTCTTTCTGGACAGAAAGTCCCTTTGTAATGTCCTTACAGTGCAGAAATTATTTTCTTTTTTTTTTTAAAAAAACAAACAAAACAAAAACCAAAAAAACAAACTTGCTTTGGGAGTTGTTTCACCTTACATGACAGTCAGTCCCCAGGAATCATTTCACTTTTACATAATGTGCACACTTGTGTTCTGTCTGTGGTGTGAAAACCAGCAGAATGCTGGCTGTTAATAACAACCATATATCCACTGCTTTCCTATTGCCCCTGGGACTCTCCTCAAAGCCATTGGGAATTCATCATCTTGTAGTAACTCCTAATGAGCAGTGTGCCAAGGGTGAATTCCTGATGGTTTAGTGTGGCTGCTAAGTGTCCTCATTGCCCCTTCTGTCCTGAAGAGTTCTGTACTCTAGAGGACAGTTTCAGTTCACCTCTTACCAGGCTGTGACCACCTCTGCAATGGGCATGGCAAGTATTGAACTTGAGGCTCCATTTGATCAAAAATAAGCTCTAAGGGTAGAATCTCTTGATGATTATTTGTGTTAGACGTTTGCCTGTCCTGCAGTGACGTGGGAGAACAGCTCCTTAAATCACAGGACTGACAGCAGCTGCAAACATCTGCAGATGTGGGGTTTGTAATCTCTCAGACATTACTGCTTAATCTCTTCTATTTGCGACTAGAATTTTGTTTTTATTTTATTTTATTTTTTATAGGAGTCACATAAAATACACTTCAGGAAGAAATCATTGAACATTTCCCATTTGAATGGCAGTAGATATTGCAGGAATATATGTATATGCCTGGATGTGTGTATCTATACACACATACACATGGATATGTAAATAAAACCACAGGGAGCTCTAATGCAAACATTACCACATACTGTGAAGCTAAATGGAGCCAACAGATATGGAGGCATGGGAAGGAGGTGTTGAGTTTTCAGGTGGTACAATAATGAAAAATTGAGTGCCTTGGTGTCCTGGTGGTGACACCCATGAGAGCCCAACACATGCCTCAAGGACAGCACACCCAGTGAGGTGCAATCTCTCCCTGTTAAAGTGCTTATTGTTTTGGAACTGAGGACTTCCTTTACTGATCAAAGAGCTGCCTTTGATTAATCAGTTTTAAAATGAACGAATTTTTAAGTTCTTATTTTTTGCTTTTCTTAGGGGAAATATTTCAAAAGCCTTTTGATCTTTGGTGATAGGCATTTAGTAAAAGGCAGGTACACTTTTACAAAAAGAACCCTAGAAGCCTTGTTGTAAAGGGTAACATGTATCAGAAAACATTCAGAACATGTTCAGCAGGTCTGTTGGCTTCAGCAGACCCCTGCCCACTCACAGAGTTGCTCTTCTGCTCATTCTTTAACAGGATCAAGGGTTTTAAAAGGTAAAATCAGGCAGCTGATCTGTGAAAAAAAAGGGCAATATCTACTGCAAAGGTCAGAAAATATTAATGTGGCATCTTACACTCACAGAGTACAGGCAGCACAAATCTCTACAAATAGGCATCCTGCTGGTAACCAATTGAAATGTAGGAGGTAGTTAATGTCTTTCAATTGTAAGTGTCATTTGATCCCCAGGGAGACATTTAATGGATGGTATTTTCCTACTGAGAGTCCTGTCTTTTCTTTCTGTACTTCATTAGTAATAGTTCAGGGTCCTCATGTTAATAAAAAATGTATGCACTGCTTACCTGATTTTTCAAATTGCATACACTGTATTAGGAAAATTGATGTTGTTCCTACAGAATTAAATAGAATACCTTTAATTATATGGTGTCTCCCTGTCTGCAAGCAGGTTTTCCACACTACTTATTAACAAGCCAAAGAGAAGGAAAGAACTGAACAGAACAGATAACAGTACCTGAATAAAATAATGGCTTTTAGCAAATCTTCTTGCTGTGAAAGTTCCCCCACACCCCATTTAAGCTGTGTGGTCTGGATTGGTCTTGGGGATCCTTCAGAATGAAGGTTCTATCTGAGGTATCTATGGGAAATGGATGCCTCACTTCTGCTGTGGAGGTGGACCTGTGATATGAAACACTTATTTACTGAGTATGAATAATTTTATCCGTAAGTGGAATCTCTCAGTTGTTTGACAGGGTAGAGCATTAATATCCTACTGCCATTAAAGGGAAAAAAAAAAAATCACATTAACTCAAAATTCCACAAGTAGAGCTACCTGGATTTCAGATTTGAAACCCCAGCTGTTTCCCTTCAAGTGTTTCTCTGGTGGGTCAGGGAGACTATACTGACCCTTCTCTCTTCCTCAGGATCAGGGTCTGGCATTCATTTTCTGATATTGTCTTGAGTGACTGCTGTCATGTTTTCACAATGTTTTAACTCAAACTAACTTCCTGTCAATCTTTATGAACTCCCCAATAAGCAGATAACTGAGAAACAGAATTATCTTACTTTAATGGTCTGACTGAATACCAAAACCCACTATAACACGGAAATACAGAGCCTCCAAGGAACTGTTCTGTGTTGGTGGGGTTCAGTTCAGAAGTGCAACTCTATGTTTATGGCTGCAGTGCTCCTGCGTGGGGCACTTGCCTGGGATGGCAGAGAACAGGCCATGCTGTCTGTCATAAACCAGTCCCCTGTAACCCACAAAAATACTCTGGATTCATTGTAAGTGAATTCATTGAGGGTGGAAAAAAATCTGATGGTGGCTAAAAAGGGCTCTTTTGCATTAGACATGCAGGAGCTCACTGTTCAGTGTGGTGCTGAGCACTGGGCTCTTGTGCTGAAGCGAGGCTGCTCACCTTTCCATCGGCACTTCCCACCACCACAAGGAGCTGCTCCTCATGTGTTTGCACTTCCACACGTGTTTGAGTGCTCTGCTGGAGCAGAATCAAGCCACCAGTTTCAATATTGACTTGTTTTTGTAAAGTTGAGCATGTTGTGTTTTGCTACATAGCTCGTGGTGGTGAGAGAAATCCATTAAACTTGAAGTTAATTAGTATGGGAAGACTGTAATTTATCGAGATTGCCTGAATGGAAGCAAGGGCATTGCTATTTAATTAGCAAGTGCATTTGGATTTTTAGATTATTTGATCCTTTTTGATTTTATTCAAAATATTGTAAGTGCTTTGCATATAATGAAAGAAGAATAGATTAAGGAAGGACAGGAGACTGAAAAGACATTAAAAACCTATGGCATAATATTAATTTTTTTTCTATTAAGTGCATGGTTTTGATCAGATAAGAGAACTTTTATTGCTGTGGTCTATTCTCACTTTGTATCTTAATTATGACTGAAAAGATTCCTTAAATGACAAAGTCCTAATTTATATTACCACAAAGGACTAATCTTAGAGAGTTATTAAACCAGAACACACCTGTTTGTTGCTCCTTCTGCTTCCCTATTTCTAAGACCTTCCACTGAAGTCATGGGCACCTTCAGGTGATTTCCATATATGTTTATGGGAACTCAGCTATGATTTATTCTGTGGGCTGCTTTCTTTGTTTTCCTTAATTTAAGTAATTGTAGATTGAAACTTCACTAACACCACTACTTCTCCAAATTAAAAAGCGATGGGACAAGAGGAAATGGCCTCAAGTTGCACCTAAGAAGGTTTTGATTGGATATTAAGGAAAATTTCTTCACCAAAAGCTTGTCAAGCACTGGAACAGGCTGCCCAGGAAGGCAGGGGAGTCACCATCCCTGGAGGGCTTTAAAAGCTGAATGTGGCACTCGGGAATGTGGTTCTTTGGTGGCCTTGGAGGTGCTGGGGGAACGGTTGGACTCGATGATCTCATTTCCAATGTAAGTGATTCTGGAATTCACAGCTAGTGTCCTCCATGGAGAGCGAAGCTGCCGCTGCTCACAGGATGGACCTTGTCCCTCCAGCTCCTAATCATGCAGCGTGTCCCACTAAGGGATAGTGGGATGGGGCATTCCAGTGCACAAAATAGAGAAAATTCTCTCTGAGGAGTGCACATGTTCAGTCCATCCATCCATCGCCTCTCAGTGAGGGGCACAGGACTTGCGCTGTACAGGACAGCATTTCGACACAGTGATGATCCCGACTTTCGAGGCGGTGATGACCCCGAGTGTGGTCTCAGGGCTGTACGGGGCGCCACCGCACCCTTGCCGCTGTTTTTCGGGACGGCGGCCGCCCCTCGTCCCGTTCCCGGCC